AAATGTAATTTTACACCATGATATTTGATAAATCTACATATGAAAATGCCTTTAACACACACAAAAATTAGGAAACAAAATTATTCGAAAATCAGATGAGTAACAATGAGGGCAGAATCTAAGACTTTAGATCATCTGAGTGAGACGACCAATATTCATCAAGGATCTGATTTTCAACTGCGGGGTGAAACAATGAAGACAGTTGCTGAGACTTCAGAAAGAGTATACAGGCGTGCTAGACCAGATGAAGACACTGCTGAGAACACAAGTAATCATGGAACAATGAGGGCAGACTCTAAGATCTCAAAAAGAGTAAACAGGCGTGCTAGACCAAGCCGGGCTAGACCAACGCGTGCTGGACAAAATGAAGACAATCATGAGCTTTTTGGAGAAGTCCGTGTACGTAATCTGCCTCGTCGTGCTAGAGCTAGGATTGCCCCTATCGTTCTTCCTCGTCATCTTCATCAATTTTATTAAATTTAACAACAAAATTTGATCTAGTAATTTAATTTTATGTTTATGTTATTTTCTTAAACTTTATATATAAACACAAACCCTACCTTAACAACCTAATCTAACCACAAATTCAGAATCTACCTCAAAATAACAACATAATCTAACTACAAAACTTTCATAAACCTATATAATCTATCTATCTAATAACGTTAACCATTAAAAGTTACATGATTTCAATTGTAAAACAAAAATATCGCGCATCACGAGAGTCAATTCTAGTGTTATAAAAATTGAAGTTTTTCTTTCTTTTTGTTTATGGTTTTTCTGACATCAAAAAATGTTTTTTGGTTTATTCTATATATTTAAACGTCGGTTAAAATATGAGTTCGGTTAAGGATCTAACACACTCGTCCCCATGAAAAAGTAACAATTACTAAGAATTATTGATGTGTCATGAGAATCCTAGTTTGATTTTTGATTGGAATAGTCGTCGATTATTTTGTGACAAATCTCATTAACCATAGAACATTACATACCGAAAGGGGTATTGTAACTTCTTCGACAATTATAAAAAAAAAACAACAATTAAAGCGTATGAGTATTTTAGCCACAAGAAAAATAAACAAATATTGTAAGAGTTAACACTTAAGTAGTATCATTATTATATCAAAAAAAGTTAGATAATTTGAATCTGCCTATTTTCCTCCCACTTCTTTGAATCTGTCTTATGCCGAAAAAAACGTATGAACCTAATTTATAATTTCTTTAACGTTAACTAATTTCTGATCTTAAATTAAACTATTTGATTCTGATCCAAAAAAAATAAAATATACTATATGATACTTAAACAAAATACAAAGATGGTCGGTAGTTAATAAAATATGGAGTAGAGCAAATTTATTCAGTGTGTTAATCTCGAGGCATAAACTGTTTGAGCAGTTAAAGTTTGTTGTAATAAAATACTGTA